TACATTGTGACCGAAAAGCTTTCGGAAATTCTCATTTAAAATTCGCGCGCTGTATATTTTCCGATATTTTAAGTTTATGTAGTTTGGCAGCACTGTCCTTAATTACTATGCCAAAAATGAGCGCGATCTGTCAGACAGTTCGTTTACGGCAGCTGTTGAAACCAGTTCACCTCAGTAGTGCGTTGCGAAAAAAACAATGGAAAAAAATATTGGACAAAGAGTTTGCATCAAATTTTGTGTTTCGAACGAAATTTCGTGTGCAGAATCGTTGCGAATGCTACAAAAGGCTTATGGGGAATCAGTTTTATCGAAAACTCAAGTTTATGAGTGGTACAAAGCCTTTCAGGACGGTCGTACGACCGTCGAAGACATTTCGCAACGCACTACTGAGGGGAACTGGTTTCAACAGCTGCCGTAAACGAACTGTCTGACAGATCGCGCTCATTTTTGGCATAGTAATTAAGGACAGTGCTGCCAAACTACATAAACTTAAAATATCGAAAAATATACAGCGCGCGAATTTTAAATGAGAATTTCCGAAAACTTTTCAGTCTTAATGTACACTTAAATTATTATTTGCTACTATACGTGTTCTGTTAACTATAAGCTTTGCATAAATTTTAATATTACTATTCGTAGCGATTTGTATCAAAAATTTAAAATTTTTTTTATAAGTTTTAATTACATATTTGGTTAAATAATTATTTTTATTATTCTTAACTGCTACGTATTTGCTAAAATAAATCCGTTTTACGCATATTATAAAAATATAATATATTAAAGTTAATTTTTAATTTAGAATTTAATATTTTTCACCAAAAATTTTATAATATTATTTATCAAAAATTGAAAATTTAACATTTTCTGCATATTAAATTCTACTAATATTTAAAATATTTAATAGGCAGAAAAGCAAACTACAACAAAAGCAATAACATGATTTTACAATGAATTTACTTTATAATTTCATATGAAATAAATGTAATCTACCTTTTTTTCTGATTTCTTTTCTAATAAATTTTTAATAGAAACTTTACAAAAAGCACACAAAGATTATCATATGAAATTTATGGAATTCCATTTTCATTTTTAACTGCAATTCCCAAAAATCAAAATGAATGAATTTTCACTGGTAAACTAATACACAGACTTGTCAGTCAGACAGAAGACGTCATAATTTTAAAAATCTTTTATTTTACAATTGATGTTAGATTTCGCTGCCTCCAATACGCTTAATTTTGACCGGAAAGTAACAAACAAGGGGAGATAAAAAATCATGTTTTTATATTAACGTTGTTGTTGCTCTTGTTGTTGTGTTGTTGGGTTGTGTTGTTCATATTACTTATATTTAATTTACTTTAGTGGGCAAAACAAGTGAGAGAATTTATCGTCATGCGTTGCTTGTTGTACGGAAGAGCAAAAACAAAAAAAAAAAAAGAAATATAAACAAAGAAAAATTGTTAAAAGGCAAATAATTACAATAAAAAAATGAGCATATTTTAATGTGCTCAATGAGAGCAATACAAACTTGCAGAGCATATAAGAGTATATATATATATATATATATATATGTGAATATAGATGTTACACATATATATGTGTAAGAAAAATAAAATAAATAAGAAATATAAAAATCTTGTTTTTTCTTGATATTATATTTGCATTGACAATACAATATCAGAGAAAATACAACTGTTTTGGAAATGAATGGGGGGTTCAAGAAGTCAAGGAAATTGCAAAAATAAAACAAAATAATAAATTAAAGAAAGAAAAAAAGACAAAAAAAAAAGAAAAGCGCACCGTTTTATACAATATAAAAAAAAGCATGCATTCGTATTTTATTAAGGTATAAAGAGGAGTTCGTATGTGTATGTCTGTTTATGAAATTGGTGAATGGCTTCCGAGGGTGAAACTGGAGGTCGTGTTGTATGGAGCATATGCTTGCTACTCACACACATAAACACAATATAATGCATATGGAGCACAACGGGCAACATTTATAGTTATTTATCTATATGTACTAGGGAATTTGTTAGGGGTATGCTATATAGAAAGTAGGGGTAGACAGGTGACGTAGAAGAAAACGCATTCATTAAAACAAAAAAAAAAAACTTGCATTCGCGTCAAATATCTACAGCATCACAAATTCGATTATTGTTTTTGTTTCACATATAAATTAATGTGAATAACTTGAATTGAATTGAACTTAATAATTGTTACACAAAATACTATGGTTGCGAGTGCAATGCGCATTATTATGGGAAATTGTATTTAAATTTTGGTGTTGCAGTAACTCCCGCACTATTACGTATACACTTGTTAATTATTTTATTTTATTGAATTGAATTGAATTGAATGAAACCAGTCAAACTCATACAATTTCATTATACAAACGTATGTATATATGTATTTTCGCCACTTAACATATCGTACATATCAATTTCCATAACAAATTTTACACTGAATTGGCAGTTGAGCTTTTTTTTTCTTTTGCTTATTTAATAATTTCACACATTTCCTATATTATTTTACAATTGTAATTTTAAGCGATTCAGTTGTTTTCAAATTTCATGCATAAATTAAAAAATATTCAATACATATTATTCGTTTTACGCTTCACTTAAACACAAAGTAGAAATTATTGGTAATAATTTCTACATTTTTTGTAATATTATTTTGCTTTATTTGAACAATTTAATAAAAACTATTATTATTTTGAATGGTATAATTCGTGAATTTATAAACCTTTATATTTTTATAAAGAAAATACAACTTTTCCACATACAATATTTTTTTCTTCGACCAATGAACAACAAAGAAATTAAGTTGCGCGACAATCACAAATTCCGTCAGTTCAGTACGAATTACGTAGAAGAATAACATGCGAGCAGACAAAAAGCAAAATTGTGCTTTAATGAGCACATGAAAGTCAACAACTGACAGCAGTGTTGCCTCGTTGTTGTAAAAGTTCAGCAAGATATGCTATGTTATGGATGTAATAAAGTTTTTAAATGTGAAAAAGGGAAAACTTTATGTTTGTAATGTTTTATTAAACGTTTTCGGTGGCTCGCAAGTATGGCAAAAACAGCAAGTTGCTGGCCTATCTGTCTGAAATGTATACAAGGCCAGCAGTTATTGCTTTCCAAATATTTTGACCAGTAAAGAAAAAAAAGGTTACCAACACAATAAGCGAACTATTGTGAAACTTCATTGTAAATTCCAACGAATATTGCAATCATATGTCAAAAATCATATGTAAACAAAAATTCAAAAATTTCATTGAAAATTGGGAAAAAAGCAAAATATTGAAAAATATATAAAAATCTTGAAAAATAATGGGGAAATCGTTATTAGAAATAAAGTTGTTTATCAGCTAGCAGACAAACCAAAATTAAAAAGCTTTTATTTAAAAGGCAAATTTTCTTAATTTTGGTTTGTCTGCTAGCTGATAAACAACTTTATTTCTAAATAAAATGATATCAGATGATAAAAATACAAACAGAATCGTTATTAGTACAAAGCACATTGAATTTTTCTAATGTATTAGTTATTAACAAGTAACATTTATCATATTTTATTTTTATAAAAAATGCAGTGTAAAAGATTGGCAACAGTGATGCCAATGTCTCACATAGCGAATATAGGCCAGCATGCGTTTTTTACCACACTTGTGAGCCACTAAAAACGCATATTATTATAAATTTCGTAACGTTTGTTCAATTTACTAATGTTTTTAAAAATTATATGATTTTGAATTATTTGTTAAAC